GGAGCTCTTGCTTATAATTGCAATCAAAGGTCAGTCTTCTTTTCTTTGTTGCATTCTCAATAACTTTAATAGAGTGCTTCCAGGAAACAAGATTTCCAAAGTTGGTTAATAAGTCAACAAGTCAATGGTCTTCCATTTCTTTAAATTGATCATGTTTCAGAGGCTCAGCGTTGAATTCTGCTCCTCCAGCCTGACTTTTTGTTAAAATTCATCGAACTGGTATCTTTCTTTAATCTTCTCTCTACACCAAATGTCTTTCCTTTTTGTTTCACAAAATATTAAATTTCCTTGAAACAATTTTCACTTTGGTTCAGTTTGATCCTGATTTGGTTCATATGACTTTCAAAATAATGGTTTTGGGTATAAAGGGTCCTTTCTAATTGTCACAGGATCAATGTCAAGAAAAGATCATATAAATTATTCTTCACACGTTGTTTTGGACAACATTTAGTCTCACTAGTGTTATTTTCTTCAATAAAAACTCCAAATAATTACACTTCCTCTTGATGAGAATTTTGTCCTTAACAATTTCATAACATGTTTAATCTCACTGTATGTATGTTTTGATGGAATTTGGAACCAAGCATTTAGATTACTAAAAATACCTCCTTAAATTTAAACTCACTCTTTCTTCCTAAGTAATCAGGATACATCAGGGAAAAACTGATTTTAAACTAATTGTACTGAAATGAACTCTGCACACTTATCTGAATTCCCTCACTTAGCTGATGCCCGTTACATTATATTCTCTTATTTCTCAACTTCCCTCAACGTTCCTTACAATGCTTGCACTGCTCCATTTGCTACACGATCAAAATGACATGAGAGTGATGCTAGCAAATGGAAAAGATGAGAAATTAAGTAAAGTAGAAAAATACTGTTATAGAGAGTGAGAGACAAAGCACTCCTCAACTTTAAACAAGGTCTAATTGATGACCAGTTCTTGTCTAATTTATGGTTCACTTATAATTTTTTATGTTCCCTTCTGTCATCTGTTCATTGTGTTCCGTTGTAGCTGTTCATATAAGTAGAAGTGTTCTAAAACTCAGACAGCAAAACCAAATGGTTAAGTTTCCGCAATTTTTCTTTGGCAGTCTTCATTTTTGTTCAGCTTGATCTTGATTTTGTTATTTTCACTCAAAACATGATGGTTTTGGATAGAGGGAACTCTCTGCTTTTCTTTTTAATTGTGATTTTACTGCAGATTAGAAGTGCTGTTGGCCTTAATTCAACAGCTGGAGATCATGAAGTTAGGTGCATAGGGAGGGAGATACAAGTACTTCTTGCATTTAAGCAAGGTTTGGTTGATGACTATGGTGTGCTTTCCTCCTCAGGAAGCGAAGAAGAGAAAAGGGATTGTTGCAAATGGAGAGGAGTTCAGGTAGCAGAGCAACAGGACACATAATTGAGCTTATTCTTCAGGATTGCTCTTTAAGAATTAAGAGGTAAGCTATGTCCTTTCCTCTTTGAGTTGCAGAGTTTTAACTTATTTGTACCTTAGTTGGATTGGCTTTAATTTTAACCGCATTCCAAAATCTAGCATTTCGCTTTAACCAAAAAAAAAAAAAAAATCTTGAACCCTCTTCTTGTGGTTCTGGTTTAGGTGGACATCTTCTCAGTCAGTTAGGGAACCTCACAAGTCTGCAACTCCTTGATCTTAGACATAATTACTTCAACAGTATCGAAAATCTTGAGAGGCTTTCCCAATCTTGAGTGGCTTTCCCAATCTTGAGTGGCTTTCCCATCTTTCTTCTTTGAAATACCTTGATATGAGTACAATCAACCTTCGTAAGGTTAATAACTGGCTGCAGGTGGTTAACATGCTCCCTCATCTAACCAATCTGCGGCTAGATTTCTGTAATCTTCTAGATGTTGTTCCGTAGTCCTTCCCAATTTGACATCCCTTTTGTTCTTGACCTAAGCAGTAATAATTTGGAGTCGCTTTATCTTTCACACAACATGCTTTCTGGCTGGCTTCCTTCAAGCATGTCCAAGTTCAACTTCCTCAGTTTCTTGGACCTGTCATATAACAACTTTTCTGGGAGAATTCCATCTAGCACTCAATTGCAGAGCCTTCCTACTTCCGCATTTGTTGGTAATCCTGCACTCTGTGGACCTCCTCTCCCACAAACTTGCCCCACTGATGAAAAGCCTATGGATGGTGGTGTCAAGTGCAATCAACAATACGAAGATGAATTCTGGAGATGGTTCAAACCCAGTATGGAAGTTGGACTGGCTTTTGGCTTTCTAGGAGCTTTGGCTCTCAAGTTAAATGATCCCTGGAAACATATTTGTTTCCTGTTGTTCAACTACATGAAGGTCCTCCTCAAAAACTTGAAGGACTACCTCCTTTCGATTGCGGCAGCACTTTGTTTGGTGATAACAATGAATTAATGCTGGTAGATTGCGAAGAAAGTTGAAGTTTTAGGAGCCATCCATTGGTAGGTATGTTTGAGGTTTGTTTAGGACTTTATGTCATCTTGTTCAGTTGCATTACTTAATTGGAAAATAACTGAGGAAAGCACCTTTAATTGTTGTTTTTAGGTTCAAGATGATTCTTCGGGGACTTCAAGGACTGCTCTTGAGAGGTGAAATGCGAGGGCTTCCTCTTCAGGCTACCACGGTCTTTAGAACAACCTTTTTTTATTTCCTATGTGTGTAATAAATTACGGTTTGTTTGTATGTTTTATGGTTTTATGGTTTTATGTATGTGTAATTAATTTTATCATCTAGTTTGCAAGGAATGAAGAACAAGTTATGTGCAATTAAAATAAGATCATAATTTGAATTGTGCAAGCATTTAATTCAGCAACTCATCATCCTTGATACTTTATGCTAATCAAGTTTAAATTTTCATCTTCATTATATTTTCAAAATTGAATTAACAATTTGGTAGGTAGTGTATCCTTTACCATTAAAACTTCCTGTTATTATTTATGTTAATTTAAATAATTTCAATTTTGATTTTGATTAACCCGATGCTTATTATAGGTATGTATATATATACACGTAGTCAGTACGACGAAAACATTCCACGTGGTCTATCTTCATTTAAAAAAATATACTTAATATTATGAATTTTAAATATATAAAAAAATAAATAATTTAAATAGTATGTAAATTTATACAAAAAATGAAAAATTACCTCTAAATTATTTTTGGTTAAAT